CCTTGTGTTTGATTTTTTTTTTCCTTGCTTTTTCGGTTGTTAATTTCTACTTTTATGGCTTTATGGTCAGAAAAGATGCTTTGTAATATTTTGATGCTTTGGATTTTAAGGCTTGCTTTGTGGCCTAATATGTGGTCTATTCTGGAGAATGTTCCATGTGCGTTGGAAAAGAAAGTATACTTGGCTGCTGTTGGGTGGAATGTTCGGTATATGTCTATGAGATCAAGTTGGTTGATTGTAGCATTTAGATCTTCCGTGTCTTTGCTGAGCTAAGTTTATACCAGTCTTTTATTTCTTTATATCGTCTTGAATTCCTCTCCATGTGAAAAATCTATGTCTACATTTTTTAAGTCCCTCTTTTTTATTTTAATGTTGTTATCTTTTACATGTTGACATCTGTTTCCCTATTTTCAGTGTTTTAGCTTTGATTTACTTTTGTGACTTCCCTATCTGGGCTGATATCTGGTTCCTCTGTCCTGTGTTCTAGTGTTGGGTTGTTATCTGATGCTACTGATTTTCTAACCGGAGTACTCCCTTTTGTATTTCTTGTAATTTTGGTTTGGTTTTTGCAAATTCCCTAAATTTCTGTTTATCTGGAAATGCCCTAATTTGGCCATCATATTGGAGAGACAGTTTTGCTGGATATATAATTCTTGGCTGGCAGTTTTTTTCCTTCAAAGCTTTATATATGTCATCCCATTGCCTTCTTGCCTACATAGTTTCTGCTGAGAGTCCAAACTTATTCTTATTGACTCTCCTTTGTAGATGACTTTTTGTTTATCCTTGGCCGCTCTTTAAATTCTCTCTTTATCTTTGGTTTTGGCAACTTTGATTATGATATGTCTTGGTGACTTTCTTTTGGGATCTACCTTATGTGGAGTTTGATGAGCATCTTGGATAGATATCTTGTCATCTTTTACAATATCAGGGAAGTTTTCTGCCAACAAATCTTCAACAATTTTCTCTGTATTTTCTGTTATCCCCCCACCCCGTTCTGGTACTCCAGTCACTCGTAGGTTATTTATCTTGATAGAGAGAGTCCCACATAATTCTTAGGGTTTTCATTTTTTAAAATCCTTTTATCTGATTTTTCCTCAAAGAAGTTGATGTCAAGTGCTTTGTCTTCAGTCTCACTAATTTTGACTTCCATTGCCTCAATTCTGCTCCTATGACTTTCTATTGAGTTGTCTAATTCTGAAATTTTATTGTTAATATTCTGGATTTCTGATTGCTGCCTCTATGGATTCTTGCAGTCTGTTAAATTTGTCATTATGCTCTTCTCTAATCTTTTTAATTTCTCCTATTGCGTATTCTGCGTTTTGCTTAATTTCCTTCCTAATTTCTTTAAGAGTTCTGTATATTAATCTTTTGTATTCTGCTTCTGGTAATTCCAAGAAATTTTCCTCCTCTGGAAATTTCTGAATTCTTTATTTTGGAAGCTTGCTGAAGCCATCATGGATTGCCTCTTCATGTGATTTGATATCGCCTATTGTCTCCGAGCCATCAATAAGTCATTATATTTATTTATTTTATGTTTGCTTACTGTGTCCTAGCTTCTTGTTTTGTTTTGATATGCCCAAATAGGCTGCTCGTATGAGCTAGTTTGATTATTGGCAGCTTTGAAGCTCTAATGTCCTGTGACCAGGTGGTTAGATCTGTTACTAGGTATGTGAGCTCAGGAGTCCGCCCACTCTTCCTGTATGGATTCAGCTCATGTGCCCAGGTAGATAGCCACCAAGTGTGTGGTGTAGGCTCTCACAGTCCTAGACAGGCATGGGTGATTGGTGTAGGCACAGGCATCTGGCTGCAGTAGTGGGACACACGCTGAGCAAGGCAGGGGGCTGACGGCTGTCCCCGAGTGTCCAGGAGGAAGGTGTGTCCCTGTTCCCTAGACCACATAGGTGGGTGGGTTTTTGCAGCTGGACTATGAGTACCTAATGCTGTTGGCTGTAAGGACTAGTGGGCACCTCTTATTCATGGGCCCCTATCACAGGTGGCTAGGTGGCGTGGTTGGAGCCACCATCCCTCAGGCCCCTGATGTGGGTAGGTGAAAACCTGCTTAATAGGCAGAGCAGTGTCAAATGTCAAGAACTTGCCACTTCACAGCTGAAACAGTTGAAGTTAGAGTTCCAGTATATACCCTGTTGTACTGCAGTAATGAGGGCCTACACTGTTGAGATGGGCGCACACAAGTCTATGCAGGGGGAAAGGCACTCAAAGTCCATGGATCCCTTATGCCTGTGCCTGGACAAAGGACCTGTGCCTACCCTGGTTTCCTGGCTTAGGGGAGCTGGCAGTTTATTTTTCCCCTGTTTGTTAATTTGTTCACTCTCCAAGGCAGGGAGAATGGCTCAGGGCATGTGATGGATCCTACTTCCGGCCTAGAGGACTCAGCAGTTGCTGAAGCTGGTCCGCGACCCAGTGCGAGCAGGGAGTGGGGAGGCAAATGGGAGAGAGGTTTTTCCCTAAGGGGGGTGTTTTTGATCTGTGCAGTAAGCCGTACGCAAGTACTTATCTTTTGCCAATGAGGGCTGCTTCTTACTGGTCCTGGGTGGCCGTGTAGACTCTTTGGTGCTGGGTCTCTCCCAGTGCGGAAAACACACCTCTCGAGCACCGCCGCTTGCCTGCCTCACTGCTCACCCACGAGCTGCTCAGGCCTGAAGGGCCCAGGCTCTCACTGGGTCAGGTCTGGCAACTCCTCACTGCTTCTGAACCATCTCTCCCTCCCCCTGCCACTCAGTCTGGTTCCTCAACTCTGCCTTTGATGCTCCCAAATTGCCATATATAATCAAATCACTTGTTTTTTCGGGTCTTTGTTGTAAGAGGGTCCACTGGAAGCGTCTGACTACTCCATCATCTTGGCCCTGCCTCCCCAAAATCAACATTCTTTGATGGTTACCAGGGATGGGAGGTGGAGGGAAGGGGGATCACTCCCTATAGACAGTTGACACTTGGTATTTTTAGTGTTGGAAAAGGCAATACTGAATGTGGGTGATGTGTGCACAGCTTAACCAAGGTAAATGATGACAGTAAGAAATACATACAGTTAAGGGACCTTACTGGTAAATACTATAACATACAATTTGGCAACAACAGCAGTAACAACCCAAAAATACGTGAGTGGTTACATAGATAGATATATATGCGTATATGTGTACAGCAAGGTATATGTGTGTATATATGTGTGCATATATAGGTGTATTTGTAGGCATACATACATGTTTGTGTGTGCTGTTCATCTATTTGTATATATAATAAAGCACAAAGGGGACCGTTATGGATTGAATTATGTCCCCAAAAAATGTATGTCAACTTGGCTAGGCCATGATTCCCAGTATTATGTGATTGTCCACCATTTTGTCGCCTGATGTGATTTTCCTGTGTTGTAAATCCTACCTCTATGATGTTAATGAGGCAGGATTAGAGGCAGTTATGTTAATGATGCAGGACTCAGTCTACAAGATTAGGTTGTCTTGACTCAGTCTCTTTTGAGATATAAGAAAGTGGGCACAGAAACAGAGGACTTTGTACCACTAAGAAGGTAGTGCCAGGAGCAGAGCACGTCCTTTGGACCTGGGGTCCCTGCGCTGAGAAGCTCCTAGTCTAGGGGAAGATTGATGACAAGGACCTTCCCCTAGAACCAACAGAGGGAGAAAGCCTTCCCCTGGAGCTGATGCCCTGAATTCGGACTTCTAGCCTCCTAGACTGTGAGAGAATAAATTTCTGTTTGTTAAAGCCATCTACTTGTGGTATTTCTGTTATAGCAGCACTAGGTAACTAAGATAGGGACACAATCACAGTTACCTCCCAGATTAAAAAAAAAAAAAAATCAGTTATTGAAAAGCCTATGGAGCCCACCTTTACTCTGACACTCATGGGGGCATCACGAGTCAAAGAGTTGGCTTGACAGCAACTGGTGCTGGTTACTCTTCTGTACTTCCCACGAGTGTATCTATGATCGGGGTCAGGCGACAGGAGACCAACAGTGAAAAACAAGTGGGGATTTGCCCCACCCTTGTGGGACCAGAGCTCCTCCAAGTGGAGAGGAAGGGCCCCTCCCTTGGAGTTTGAGGCTCCTGTGTGTCTCCAGAGCCACTGCTGTCACTGCTGCTGCCAGTTGGATTTCGTGGGAGCTGGGGCATGAGAAAGAGTAGCGAAAAGAATAAAAAGAAAAACAGTTTTTTCCCTACTCTCTCTGAGCATTAGGAGTCCTCTGCCTTCCTCCTGGAGCGTATCTTCTGGTGCCCTGTTCCCGGTGGTGGGCTGCCCTGAGTCCTGGCTGCGCATACTGGAGGCACAGCAGGAGATGTTTGCTAACGGGGATTTGCTGAGTAAATGGAGGTCTGGACAGACAATGGAACATCATTTGACAGTTTTGAAAAATGAGACCTTTGTGTATTGATATGGAAATATGTCCACAATATCCTTGTAACAAGCAAAATAAGTTACAGAATGCTATATATAAAACCATCCCATAATGGAAACAATTATGTTTGTATTTATATGTACATATGTCGATGTACTATGTCTGATTGTATTGTGGTTACCTCTGGAAGGTGGGATTGAGGAGAGGGTACTTTTATCAATCTCTATTTTAGAAAGGCATAAAATTTAAAATAATAATTTAAATAATCATTATCAAATCAAGCCAGGCAGTTCGTATGCACCATCTTCAATCTTTTCATCCGATCTGCAAGGTGGTAGGTTTTATTTCCATTTTATAGATGAAGAACCCAGAGGGCTTAAACAACCTGCCTTAAGGCTGATTAGTGAGGAGGAGAGCCGAGCTTGAACCCAAGTCCGTGTGACTCCCCAGTCTAGGTTCTTTTCACCTCACCATGCTACCCCTTCAGGTTAGCCATTCGATTTAACTCATACAGAGTTTTAAATAAAAATATTCTGAATATTTCCAATGGCAATTTGCTTTCTTTCCAGAATGGCTTTGGAACACACACATGGTTTCTAAAGAGAGTCCCCAACTCCCAGTATCCTTTGAGAAATGAATACATAGGAGAGTTTGTAAATGGAAATCGGCATGGACATGGCAAATTTTACTATGCCAGCGGAGCTATGTATGAGGGAGAATGGGTTTCCAATAAAAAACATGGCATGGTGAGTACAGACCTATGGACATTACCTTTTAAAGATTCTGTGAAGCAATTGAAATACAGTAAAAGGCATGCCTTCTCCATTTTGCATAGGATAACTTGTTTTGTTAAGATGAGTATGTGAATTTTAAAATAACTTCCAGCATGTCATCAATTTCCTGCATATTTACAGGTTATGTGTGTTAGGGTGCTTTTGGCTGCAAGTAATAGAAAACTCTAGTCTGTCATAACAATACCTGCTGAAACTGATAAAGGGTAATATGGCTTCAGGGCTGGTTTGATTCAGTGATTCATTGATGTCTGTGATGTCACCTGGTTTGCCTCCCATCTCTCCACTCTGTCTCCCACCATGTCAGCTTAACCCTTGCACTGCCCCTCCCTCATGATTGCAAGATAGATGCTGTGGCTCCAGACCTCACATCCACATACCACACTAACTAGGAGAGAAGAAACGCTTTTCTGAGGTCTCTACAAGTGTCTTTAGTTTCATCGAGCTGAATTGGGTCATTTGCCCACCTCTGAGCCAGTAACTGCCTTTCCGCCTGGATTTGACAAATATCCCTATTCTGTGACGGGCTCTCTACTGGTTACTGTTGATGGTTGCTGTCAGGTTGACTCTAACTCCTGGTGACCCCATATATGTCAGAGTAGAACTATACTCCACAGGGTTTTCAGTGGCTAATATTTGGAAGTAAATTGCTGGGCTTTTTTTCTGAGGTACCTCTGGGTGGACTTGATCCTCCAACTTTTCAGTTAGCAGTGGAGTGCATTAACCATTGCACCACCCAGGGACTAGCATAGATTAATAAGACACAGTCTGTAACTAGAGGTGCTTAAAGTTGGGGAGAGCTGTGGGGCAGATACAGAGAGAGGAGGAGAGGAGAGGAGGAGAGAAAATTTACAGTCACTTGAGACTCTAGGAGTCTGTTTTATGTGGACTAAGTGTTACTTTAAAAACAAACAAACAAAAAACTCCAAACCCTTGAAAGATACATTGATGTACATTTAGCCATGCTTTTCTAACAGAACTTTTCCTAAACTGCAAAAAGTTACTGTTTTCTGTCTGTAGGGCCGGTTAACTTTCAAGAATGGCCGTGTGTATGAAGGCCTGTTTTCCAATGACCACATAGGACAGCTTCCAAGTCTTGAAACTGACTTAACAACTCACCCGGACTTGTGTTCAGGAGGCACCACCAGGAGAAGCTGTGGCTCTTCCATCAGTGCTGGTAGGCAGACGTCACCTGTCAGCTGCAAACAAATTAATCTGTATTGTCCTTTCTGTGCACTCAGCAAAGCGCGTGTGATGCTCCTGTGTTCTTAGTAGGCTTTTTAATACTCTTGATCACACTTTTGTGGAAAGCCATTTTGACATAACACTGAAAAATGTTTTCAATGCTTTTTACAAGTGTTGCATTTATTTGTCTTCATTTGCTAGAAGTTATCAGGGAGCTTGATGGCAGTGAAAGTAGTTCTGTGCTAGGAACAAGTATTGAACTGGACCTCAGTTTGTTGCTGGCTGTATACCCTGAGAAAGACCGGCCAGAAGAAAAGAAGCAGGTAAAAACCATTTGTATTGTTATAAATTGGAATCTTAGGCTTTAAATATTAACAGAGTGTTCATAAACAAAAACCAAATCAGTTGCCGTCAAGTCGTCTCCAAGTCATGCAACCCCTTGTGTGTCACAGTACAACTGAGTTCCACAGGGTTTTCAATGGCTGATTTTTTGGACATAAGTTGCCAGACATTTCTTCTGAGGCACTTCTGGGTGGACTTGAACCTCTAGCATTTCAGTTAGCAGCCAAGCAAGCACATTAACCATTTGTACTACCAAGGGACTCCAGAGTCTTCCCAGTCCTGGGAAAATACAGTTGGTAATTACTATCATTTGTTGAGTATCTTCTATGTGCCTGATAGATGCTTTACATATATTATCTGTCCCATTTAATTTACAAGGCAACCCCATGAGTGAGCTGGCTTTATGAGGAAACGGAAGCCCAGAGGGAGGGGCTCAGTGAGTGACTCAGAGCCTCAGAGCTGGTTGGGGTCAGGTCTCCACTTAGATGGGTCTGAAGGCCAAAGCTGTGGCCACCCCCCCCTTATTCTGCTGTGCATTATTATGATTATAATTGTTATTGAGCTGCTAGGGCTCAAGAGAACCTCAAATACTTAAAATGTAGAAATCCTGTGATAGAGAAAGCTATATGGAAACCTGGTGGTGTAGTGGTTAAGAGCTACGGCTGCTAACCAAAAGGATGGCCGTTCGGATCCACCAACCGCTCCTTGGAAACCCTATGGGGCAGTTCTCTGTCATGTAGGGTAGCTATGAGTTGGAATCAACTCGATGGCAATGGTTTTTTTTTTTTTAATATGTACCTGAACCTCATTTGGTTAGCATCTGGCAAATCACGATTGCCAAATTACATTTGAGTACAGTGGTGCTGCTTTCACAGTATGTTTCTTCTGTGAAACTTGTTGAAGATGTTGTCCGCTGTTCTGTTGTTGTGTTTACCATGAGAAGCATCTTTGCCCCCTTTCCCTTCTTTCTTGCCCCCTCAACTGGCCCCCAGTCCTTTGGCCTTCAAAGTGATGCATCTGTCCACCCCTACCCCTCATTGTCTTTCTCAGTCACCATTGTAATCCAGGCTCCTAGCATGACCTACTTCATCTGTGTCAAGATTCTTGGTGCAGACAGGACGCTTTCTTGCTTTCTCCAATTACAAAAGTAGTATGTGATGCTTGTTGAACGTTTAGATAACAGGTCAGGAGAAAGAAAAAAAGAATCCCCACCCAGACAAGATCTTATGACTATCTTTCCAGTAAGAATCCCTGATGGCGCAGTGGTTAAGTGCTTGGTTGTTAACCGAAAGGTTAGTGGTTTGAACCCACCAGCTGCTCCACGGGAGATAGATGTAGCATTCTGCTTCGGTAAAGATTACAGTCTTGGAAACTCTGGGGGCAGTTCTACTCTGTCCTATAGGGTTGCTATGAGTCAGAATTGACTCAATGGCAATGGGTTGGTTTGAATGTTTCCAGTTTTCTTCTGTGTACACATACATAGAAATGTGACCATTCTGTTCACATGATCTTTATTTTCACAAAATATTTAATGATAGTTATTCAAAGTCATTAAATATTCTCCTACAATAGAATTTTTAGGTAAATAAGTTAACTAATATATGTTGATTTACAAAAAATGGAGGGATCACATTGTTTATATTATTCATTTTTCCGCTTTGGAGTTCCTTCTATGTCAAAATATGTGTGTCTTTAAAAAATCATTGTAGTTTTAAAAAATATATCTGAACTGTTTTATAATTACAAAAGTAACACATGCTCTTACCAAAAAATATATATGACATAGAAAATGAAAGAATCTTGTCATTCTATGCTTCAGGAATGTTTTTAAACATTTTTTATAACTGTAATATTCTGTAATGCAGTATATTGCAATTTAGGCAGCAAATCTTCTATAGGCCTTTTTTTTTTTTTTAACTTTTTATTTTGAGGTGATTCTAGAATTACAGACGAGTTGCAAAACTAGTAGTGACTTTCTGTATACCCTTCACCTAATGTAACATTTTACATAACCATGGTACAATTATCAAACCCAGGAAATTAGCATTGCTACAATACTGTTAACTGCAGACTTTATTTGAATTTCACGTTTTCTCCTGATGCCCTTTTTCTATTCCAGGATGCAGCTTGGGACCCTGTATTGCATTTAGTCTCCTTATTCTCCTCTAATCTGTGCCAGTTTCTCCATTTTTTATTGTTTTTCATGAACTTAAGGTTTTTGAAGAGTACCGGTCATTTTGTAGACTGTCGCTCAATTTTGGTTTATCTGATGTTTTCTCATGATTATATGCACTTATTGTCCATCAGTGGAACAGTCTGTCAAACTGTGGGTATCTTTTGAGCAGGGGTTCTGGGTTATTCTAGTCTCAGCAGAGCAGGCTGTGTTTGTTGGCCTTCTAAGCCTTTAAGCTATATCCTTTCTCATCCCAAAGGCTGCCTTTGCCTGTCAAGTCCATGTTCCTAGATTGGTATTCAGGGCCTTCTGTGATCTGACATCAATCCACCTTCCCAAGCTGCCTCTGTCACGTTCCCTTCCTCCTCACCGTGAACTCACATGATGACGGCTAGCATGTGCATAGATAGCACTCACTCTGCTGCAGGCATGACTTCAAATGCCTTTCATCATTGAGTCTTCCCAACAGCCTCTGGGGCAGGTACTGTTGACCCATTCTGCAGATAAGGGAGCTAGGGCAGGGAAGTGAAGGCCTTGCTCCAGGTCATGCAGTCCTCCTGGTTTTCTTGAAGGACCCTACCCTGTTCTACTCGCAGGCCCCTCTCCACTTGGGATGGCTGCTCTCCATGAAGTCCTACTCATTTTTCCATTCTCTGAAGCTCAGTTCAAGTAGGGGGTCCTGCAGGAAGCCTCCTGCACAGAATCCTTCTCCCCTCCTCCAGGGCTCTGTCTAGATGCTTCCTATTGTGTATGTGTCTTGTGTAAGGCTGGCAGTTTGAATCCACCCAGCGACTCCGTGGGAGAAGGACCTGGCGACCTGCTCCCCTGTAAAGATCACCGCCTAGAAGACTCAATGGAGCAGTTCTACTCTGTAAAGCATAGGGTCATTATGAGTTGAAAATTGACTCGACTGCACCTAACAACTTGTGTTCTTTACTAGAATTAAGCTTCCTGAAGACAGATACTGTGTTCTAGTATAGAACACTGCTTTCAGTTGGACAGAATATAAATGTGTATTCAATTGAACTAAATTTTATAAAGCAGAGTTCATGCTGAGAGCAGTGAGCTTTGCAGGTGGGGCTTTTCCATCTCCACAGGGGCCCCACATACTGTCTTCACACTCTATATAGGCTGCAGGGCCTGTTTATGGGGGGGACATGGGGCAGCATAAGGGCATAGGGGCCTGGGGAAAGCACTAGTAGGCAAAATGGCGACAGAAAAGGAGGTTAGGAAAGCAATAAATTTGACTTTTGCTTATTTCAGACTTTCAGCATTAAGTATGTTAGCTGTATTTTTTTGTATGTGCCATTTATCAGGTTAAGGAAGTTCCTTTCTATTCCTAATTTGCTGAGGGTGTTTATCACTAAGGGATGTTAAATTCTGTCAGCTGCATCAATCAGTATGACCATGTAGTGGTTCTTCCTTAGTCTACCAATATGGTGCATTACACTAATTGATGTTGTCAAGTGTTGAACCAGTCTTGTAATCTCATGGTAAACTCCACTTGGTGTTGATGTATTTTTCTTTTTATATATTGCTGGATTCGATTTGTTTGTTTTGTCAAGCATTTTTGCATCTGTGTTCATGAGGAATGTTGATCTGTAGACAACAGAGTTGTTGTACTGCTGCCATTCAGACGGGGTGTGCTCACATAGCAGCATAAGGGATGTTCTCCACATGGAGCCTGTTTTCACTGTTCTTCAGGAACTGTGCTTTATTGACCTGGGGTGGATGGGCAGAATATACCATGTATTGAGCTCTTTCCGTTGTAAGAGGTAGATGCTGTTACTTAACACGTGTTATCTCATTTAATTTAGAAAACAGGTGTTCCTTTTACTTTTGTTCTTATCTAGGTAAGGTTAAGATATGTGTGGTTTTCTTCTTTTCAGGTAGAATTTGCTATCTTAAGAAATATTACAGAACTAAGAAGAATCTATAGCTTTTACAGCAGTCTAGGTTGTGATCACTCTCTGGATAATACCTTTCTGATGACAAAGCTTCACTTCTGGAGATTTCTGAAAGATTGCAAATTTCATCACCATAAACTAACTCTTGCTGATATGGACAGGTTACTAAGTGGTGAGTATTCCAGGTCCTTGACATCTTCTGGCTTAAGGGGTAGCATAATATAAGGCAGCCATCTTTAAACCAGTTAAGAAATTTTGAGGGAGGAGGGAAGGCAAATGTTGGGAGAGGTGTTCCAAAAATTAACTAGTGGTCTTGTTTTCAAGGTGCTTACAGTGTACTTAAAAAGAGACAATCTCGTGAAATAATACCAGTTGCTGTTGAGTCCACTCTGACTCATAGTGACCCCATGTGTGTCAGAGTTGAACTGTGCTCCATAGGTTTTTGATAGCTGATTTTTCAGAAGTAGATCACCAGGCCTTTCTTCCAAGGCAACTCTGGGTGGACTTGAACTTCCGACCTTTCAGTTAGCAGATGAGCACATTAACTGCACCATCCAGAGATTTCCATGAAATAATAGGCAACAGCAAAAGACCATCTATAAAACCAAAAAACCAAACCTGACGCCATCAAGTTGATTCCAACTCATAGTGACCCTCTATAGGGATCAGCAAACAACAGCCCATGGCCAAATCCAGCTTACCACCTTCCTTTGTAAATAAAGTTTTATTGGAACACAGCCATGCCCATTTGTTTATGTATTGTCTGTGGCTGCTTTTGCCGTACAGCATCAGAGCTGAATAGCTGTGACAGATTGGTCCAGAAAATGTGCCTACCCCTGATCTGTAGTAAAAAAAAAAAAAAAAAGTGCTAAATTGTCATGTTAGAAGCAAACAGGATCAGGAGGACTTGGTATAGTCTAGGACAGGTGAAGGTTTACTTGATAAGTAGAATGTTAGAAAGAAGTACCCGTTTACTTCAAACTTAAGTGTTTGAAACAGACATAAAATTCATTTATAATTAGAACATTAATCAAATTTTGGTTCAGATCATTTTGAAAAATGCTGGGTCAAGGTTTCTTGTAAACTAACTAGACAGAGACCTTTTGTATGGTACTTAATTTTTTGGTGGATGCTTATATACTATTCAGTGTATTCTCTGGGAAAAAAGTACTCTTTCATAATTAGTTTTATGAATTGTGTATCAGGAGCAAATAAAATAGGAGGGTCTAGAAAATACGAGGCATCCTCTCCAATTTTCTTATTTTAGCCAATAATGACATACCAGTTGAAGAAATCCATTCTCCATTTACAACAATACTTTTGAGAACATTTCTGAATTATCTCCTGCAGTTGGCTTACCACATTCATCACAAAGAATACCAGTAAGTACTATTTCTGGACCCCTGTGAGAGCTGCTGCCCATGGTAAGGACAAGGGCAGAGCTATACTATAGTTGTAATTTCATCCTCTTTTCTTCTACACTCATTACTTTTACATACTCTTGAAGGACTAGAAACAAAAGTTTTCCACAAGTATTGACCACAAAGTCCAGAGATACTAGGTTAAGACTGAATACTCTTGAGATCTGAGTTATGTTTCAATATGGCAGATAGCTCTCAGGGTTTTATCTAGAAATAGTCACGATCAACTCTTCCTTCTTAGGCTAGAGTTTCCTGCCTTTCTCAGAGCAAAATTAGTTTTTCTTTTTTTTTAAATCCCATCTTTTGCTTTGAAGCAATTTTAGATTCACAGAACTGTTGGCCAGGTTAGTTCAGAGTTCCTGTCTACTCTTCAGCCAGCTTCCTCAATGTTAACATAACCATGGTACATTTACCAAAATTAAGGAATTGGCATTGCTGTGTTACCATTAACTAAATTGCAAACTTCATTAGGATTTTCCCCATTTCTTCACTGATGTGCCTTTTCTTTACCATGGTCCCACACTGCACCTTGCTGTCATGTATTCTCAGTCTCCTCCAATCTGTGATAGTTTCTTGGGCTTTCTTTGTCTTTCATGACCTTGACACTTTTGAAGAGTACTGGTCAGTTACTGTGTCAAATGTATCTCCATTTTGGTTTGCTGGTGTTTCTACATGATTAGACTAAGGTTATGGATTTTGGGGAGGAATAGCACAGAAGTGAACTGCCCTTCTCATCACATATCAGGTAGTACATCATGTCCATGTGTCTTACTACTGGTGATGTTAACCTTGATCATTTGGTTCAAGTGGTGTGAGCCAGGCTTCTCTCCTCTACTTGTGGCTGATGAGTGGATTCCAACTCATAGCAACCCTACAGGACAGGTTAGAACTGCCGCATAGGGTTTCTTTATGGAAGCAGACTGCCACATCTTTTCTCCCATGGAGCTGCTGTGAGTTTGAACCACTGACCTTTAGGTTAGCAGCTGAGTGCTTAACCACTGCACCACCAGGGCTCTATTCTTTACTATAAAGGTACTATTTTTCCCTTTCTATACTGTACCTGTTAGAAGCGAGTCACTAAGTCCAGCCCACACTCAAGGAAAATGGAACTGCATAAGTTCCATTTACCTGAGGAAGGAGTAATTCTGATTTCTTTTTTATCACAGAAATAGAAGCCCATCGCTCTTTAGGTGTTTCACAAAACTGATGACTGAGAATATTCATCCAAACGCCTGCCAGGTGAAAGGTAAATACAAACACAATAGGATTTACATATACCATAATTTTTTAAAAAATATTTTACTGTGTTTTTGGTGAAAGTTTACACAGAAAACTAGGTTCCATTTGACAATTTCTACACAAGTTGTTCAGTGACATTACATTTTTCCACAATCTGCCAACATTCTCTTTAACTGCATTCTTGTTCCATTTCCAGTACTCTAGTTTCCCTGCCCCTTTGTCTTCTCATCTTTGCTTTAGAGTAATTGTTGACCTTTTGGTCTCATATAGTTGTTTTTTTAATGAAGCCCCATACTCATGGGTGATATCCTTTATTTTTTGTGCCAGTCTATTATTTCACTAAAAGGTGACCTCAGGAGATAGTTTTGGTTTAAGGTTTAAAGAGTATCTCAGGGCGATAGTCTCAGGGAATCCTCTAGTCTCAACTGGTCCAGTAAGTCTGGACTTTTTAAGAATTTGAGTTCTGTTCCACATTTTTCTCCCGTTCTGTCAGGGTCTGTGTGGCCCTGATCAGTCGTTGGTAGTGGTAGCTGGGCACCATCTAGTTCTTCTGGTCTCAGCGTAGATGGGGCTGTAGCTTTTGTAGGCTATCAGCTCTGTAAACTAGTTTCTTCTCTGAGACCTTGGTTTCCTTCTTTTTCTTTTGCTCCTAATGAGTAGAGACCAAAAGTTGTATCTTAGATGGCCGCTTGCAAGCTTTTAAGACCTCAGACACTACTCACCTCGCTAGGATGCAGAACATGAACTTTGTGGTGCCAGTTGACTGAGTTGTCCCGTGAGACGAAGGACCTAAACCTTCAAACCTAGAAAACCATTCTTGCAAGGTATTTGGTTATGTGCGAGAAGTATCTGTAACTGTGTCCCTTATGACTATATATGCGTGCACACACGTATCTGTATGTACACGTACATATAGATACTTCGGTGCACACATGTACTCACCTGTACCTACCCATACACATATATGCCTATATATCTACATATGTGACCATACAGTCATTTTTTGGTTATTGTTGGTTTTGTTGCAAAATTATATGTTATATTCTTTAGTACAAACCTCCTTTTCTCTTTGTACTTCTTAGTGGCATTGTTTACTTTGGTCAGGGTGTGCTCATTACACCCACAATCTGTGCTACGTTTCCCATCACCAAAAATAACAAGTATCTACAGTCTAGAGAGTGAACTCCCCTGGTAACCACCAATGAATACCGTCACTTTTTCAAAGTATAAAATTATAATCATTTTTTCAAAGTTTTTTGTTTCCATGATCTTTCTAGGCAACTTATTCGGTGAGCAACAGCGGACGCTCTATTCAATGAATTACATTGATAAGTGCTGGGAGATTTACATAGTTTACTGCAGACCAAATGCACTTCCTCCTGGAGAACTTACTATGAAGATGAGACACTTCCTCTGGATGTTGAAAGTAATCGCTTAAATTTTTTTTGTAATCTCTCAAATTTGATATTGATTTTATATTTATAGGCATTTTTATATGCAAATGATGAGGTAAAAATCTGGGATGAATTTTCATAGCCACTGAATGTTCACTAGATCTCTTTTGGCAGAAGAAAGGGAAATGATTAGGTGAAGGGAAGGACAGCACACACTACAGGGGAAGTCAGCACAACTGGACTAAACCAAAGCTAAGAAGTTTCCTGAATACAATCAAA